CAGAAACTAGCACCACTATTAAAACACCAAGCATCAACATCTTGTTGAAATTGTCATTGAAAACATTTATGTTGCCTTTATTTAGCTTGTCACCAACCACTGGCCCTTATTTTTATAGACTTAACTATTCACATTATGCGGGTTGCAAAAGCGCAGAGTGCTGTTAGAATGGTGCCAGGGCGGGACTAATGCCCATAAAGGGGCCCTGACACTTGCACGATTTTGTGGCACGCATTGGCACGAATCGAATCGTGCCCGTGCGCATACTAGTCGCAAACTGACGTGAAGTGTGCGGTAGCTCGTCGTGACTTCGTGCCATGTCGGGGCGAGAACTTTGAAATGTTCAAAGTTTTGGTCACGACAAAATTTCGTGACCGAATCGTGAACTATGCGCAAATTGTTCGTGAACTCGTCGTGAACTCGTCGGGACGGTGCGGGAAGTGCGTAAACAATGCGCAAACTATGCGAAAAGTATTTGTGAACTCGTCGTACCAGCGCTTGTCAATGTGTGGATCTCGGCTTGCTTCGCAGCGCGAAATTTGGGATTGTTTGGTGTTTTTCCCGAGTCGATTGGACGCCTAGATGGGAAGTTATGACCGAAAATGTATTTAACGGGTCATTTCAGGTCAAAGAGGTCAAACTAGGTCACACGGGCTCAGGTTAGGTCACAGAGGTCAAATTAGGTCACACGGTGCCAGGTTAGGTCAGAAAGGACACCATGAGGTCACGATGGGTCACGCCAGGTCACAGAGGTCAGCCAAAGTCACGATAGGTCAGTCCAGGTCAAACTGGTCACATTAGGTACGGTCAGGACATTTGCGTCACTGGAGCTCACGATGGGTCAGGCCAGGACACGGAGAAATTGGTAGATGGGAGGTCCCAGTTTTATTTGGCATGCCCAAGTTGGCACAAATTGCGCAAACTTGTCGTGCCAATGCGGGAAGTGCGTAAACTATGCGCAAACTATGCGGAAAGTATGCGTGAACTCGTCGTACCAGTCCGTGCCAATGTGGACACTGATGGGCACGCATTCGTGAATTATTCGTGAAATCGTCGTGAACTGGTCGTGCACTTGTCGTGAACAGTGCGGGAGCCATCCCAGTTCGTGCACGAAAATGGCACGGCTTGCCACGACAAAATCGTGATCGAAAGTCGTGCAAGTGTCAGGGCACCTTAAAGCCCTTGTTACACTGCCGAATTTTGGTACACGAATGTGCACGGATATGCAAATCATCCTATGTCGCGGACCGATTCGGGATCTTTCTTCCACGGTCTTGGCATTTCGCAGACCAGTCGGTGTCCAATGCGCGACTCTTAAGGCCGTGTTACACTGCCGAATTTTGGCCACGACCCTGTCGCCGAATCACGTCGTGTAGGAAATCGGCGAACAGTTCACCGACAGAGGCGAACAGTTCGCCGACAGAGCCCGATTTGCAGACAACGGGTGGGGGCCCCCCTAATCGTGCGCGGGTCGAAGCTGATCCATGATTCGGCGAACATCGCGAATGAATGGCGAATCTGTTGCGAATAGTCGCCGATACCTTGGCAACAAGTCGGCGCACGTAGCGACATGTCGGCGGTGACTCGGCGAGTGTTTGGCGATCATGTTCGTTTATTATTAGTTCGGCGAACGGCCACGAAATTTTCATTTTTCATGAAATATTCGTGGCGGTCGTGACGAACCGTAAAAGTCGCGCGGTGGGCACCGACTGGTCTGCGAAATGCCAAGACCGTGGAAGAAAGATCCCGAATCGGTCCACGACATAGGATGACTTGCATATTCGTGCACATTCGTGTACCAAAATTCGGCAGTGTAACAAGGGCTTTACGGTTCGTCACGACCGCCACGAATATTTCATGAAAAATGAAAATTTCGTGGCCGTTCGCCGAACTTATAATAAACGAACATGATCGCCAAACAGTCGCTGAGTCGCCGCCGACATGTCGCTGCGTGCGCCGACTTGTTGCCAAGGTATCGCCGACTGTTCGCCACAGATTCGCCATTCATTCGCGATGTTCGCCGAATCATGAATCAGCTTCAACCCGCGCACGATTAGGGGGGCCCCCACCCGTTTTCTGCAAATCGGGCTCTGTCGGCGAACTGTTCGTCTCTGTCAGTGAACTGTTCGCCGATTTCCTACACGACGTGATTCGGCGACAGGGTCGTGGCCAAAATTCGGCAGTGTAACACGGCCTTAAGACGTGGTGAGCGGCTAGAAAAGATGGACCGCATCTGCCATCTCCCAGACTAACACTGCTTCGGCCGGCGAAAAACGGTTACCGCCTCGAGAGTACCGGCTAGGAAGGGAGAGAGAGAGGCCGAACATCTTCCACGGCAGCGACGCTGGAAGGGAAGAGGGAGAGAGAGAGAGAGAGAGAGAGGAGAGAGAGAGAGAGAGAGGAGAGAGAGAGAGAGAGAGGGAGAGAGAGAGAGAGAGAGAGGAGAGAGAGAGAGAGAGAGAGAGAGAGAGAGAGAGAGGAGAGAGAGAGAGAGAGAGAGAGAGAGAGGAGAGAGAGAGAGAGAGAGAGAGATGAGGAGAGAGAGAGAGAGAGAGAGAGTATCCGGCGCCCGGCTGAGCCCTCCACTCACCCTGAACTTGAAGTACCTTATCACACCTTTCAAATCTACAGACTCCCGGATGTCACATCCCTTTAACACTGACAAGGAAACCGCATCAAACAGAAAACTGTAATCAATGCAACAAAATTCCAATATTTTCGTTTAATACCACCGTGTTTGGTAATACGTAATACTGAAGCCTAATTCCCGCTTACTCGCAATCTCGCTTTTCCCGCAGGACAGCGGTGACCTTCTATAGACCGGTCAAACAGAATGGCCATCTTCCTTCACTATGGAGTGTAATCCGATGCTAGGAGGCAAGAGCCTAACAAGCATTTTTCTCCCTTTAGATGATCATTCATTGCGATCGCGTATGGTTCAACTGCCACGCCGCGGGCTGTATCGTGAGGGAGCTCAGTCAGTTGATTGCGCCAACTGTCATTCTTTGTTCAGCAATCAGCATCCATCCCACCATCACACAGAGCGACGGATCCAATGGCATACAGAAACCTAGTTCGTTCCTTACAGACCGATCACAACGGAGTTTCTAGTTATGGGAAGTCCACGCATGGGGATGGAAGGCACATGTGACGGGCAGCACAGCCAACTGAATAGAAAGTCAGATGTAGGTTATATCTCATACCCGGGAACAGAACAGAACAGAACAGATTTATTTGAATAAGATCCACGATTACATGGCTTTTCACTTATTCGCGTCTGAATGGTAATACAATGGGAAGTTGGAACAGATACACGGAAATGACTACAAACATTCGCATACCATGCATACACTCGCACCAGAACCGATATCGTGAATCAGAGAGATCCAGCGAACAGCCTGGCATCTGCCCGGAAAGACAAAGTGCCAGGCTCAATGCCGCTGTCGTTCAGCAGCGACACACCGCGGTAACAGAGTCGCCGCCTGCCGGCCTCCACACGGATGGCCGGAAGGGTAAACGAGTCCGCTCGCCTGGTGTTATGATCATGCCGCTGGTGGGCTCGCTGTCCGAAGGTCTTAAGAAGAAAGTCCGGATGACCTGACTTCATCGTCCGCTCGACTGCACACAAGGTATGGTAAGCCACCAACTGTTCGGCCGTGAGCCAGCCGAGGCTCGATATGGCACCCGAGATGTGATCACATCGCCTTTTCCCGGTCACGACACGTGCGCAGAAGTTGATTGTCTTCTGTACACGGTGCAGCTGTGTGCTAGTACAAGACCCATACACCGACATGCAGTAGCGCACAATGGATAACACTAGAGCTTCTGTGATGCCCTTTAACACAGGTCTAGGCATGACGTGACGTGCGTGACTTAGGGCTATCAGAATACCGGCGCACTTATGGGACATATTGTCTATCTGAGCCTCAAAATTTAGATACCTGTCAAGTTGAACACCGAGGTTTTTAACTACTCCTGAGTCTGGAATGACATCTCCATTGAAGGTCAACGTCACAGGTGGTACATTGCGCAGCATTGAGGGGGTACCTAGCACTAACATCTGCGTCTTCTTGGAGTTGAGCTTCATCCGGTTGAAGCAAAACCACTGATACAACATGTCGAGTGCGTGCTCCATACGGGCGACGAGCTGTGGTAAGTCACACTTTCTGCCTGTCACTATCAGTTGTGTGTCGTCAGCATACTGGACAACACTAACACCGTCCGGCACATGCAAGCTAAGGTCGTTCGCAAACAGCATGTACAGAATACAACTGAGGGCGCCGCCCTGGTATACACCGATCACATTGCTCTTTTCATCAGAAAGTAGCATCCTTCCGTCTGCGCACCGTACCTGCACCTGCTGCGCATGGTCGGCCAAATAGTCACGGAACCATTTGGTAGTGATGCCGTAGAGAGACAGCTTTTCTAACAGCTTGTCATGCGGAACAACGTCAAAACATTTAGATAAATCGAGAAGTACTAGAATACTTATCTCGCCGTTGTCCATAGCGTGAAGCGCCAGATCGGTGATCACGTGCAGTGCGGTTTCAGTGGAACGGAATTTACGGTACCCGTGTTGACAATCGGAGAGCAGGCAATTGTCCTCGAGATAAGCAATGAGCTGCGCCTGTACAACGCGCTCGACAATTTTCATTATTGCTGGCAGAATCGAGATGGGTCGAGTATCGGACGGTTCGGTGGCAATTCCGGCTTTAGGAATGGGTGTGACTAGCGCATGCTTCCAGGCGTGCGGCACTGTACCGGTGACAAGGCTCGAGTTTACAACGTCAAGCAGAGCATGTCTCACACCCAAGAAAAACTTCTGCAGCATCAGCACGCTAATTCCGTCAATTCCTGTTGAATTGGACGGTTTCATCACCGCGAGCGTGGCACACAAAGTATCCAGGTCGATTGTGCTGAGGGAGGCTGCCATTGAACGTCTATTGAGTGGAGAGTGCACATTCTGGTGTGCAGTAGGGCATGCCAGTTTTAATGGTCAGAGCTGTTGTCCGCAATTGTATTGAAAAGATACAAATGACACAATGAATACTCGTACGTGGCCCGTCTGACTGTCTGTGACTCCGTTCGATCCACCTGACTGACCAGTGATCATTTTCACTGAAACCACGTCCGACTGACCTGTAACGCCCTGTCACCCGTCAAACCGACCTGTAACTTCGACTGTGACTCATCTGACTGACCTGTGACCTTCATGTTGGTCTGGCAGGGCGCTGTGCACGACGGACAGTTGGTGGGGAACGTGAGCACCTCTCCCTTCAGCATATCGGGGGTGACATTGTCCGGGTCCACCCTATCCGGGTCAGGATCCTGAGGGAGGGGGAGGGGGTCAGGTCAGCACCGCGGGTGTAATACACAACACGCATGGATGGGAGCTGTCGGTACACAGGGCTGAGGGCTGTCGGGACTGCGCATCAACGGCCAACACCTGCGACAACACGTCAATGAAGAAGTGTGTAGCTTTAGGACCTACATATTTAAATATGACAATAAGTGGCACGTTATAATGAAAGGCCATTCAGTGTTCAAAGAAAGCGCCACTTATATTGTTTGGGCTGAATAATGAACGAGTCCGACAACACTTCAGAAGCACAAGTAAGCTAGCGTCACTCGCTCTGACACGTTCGCGCCAACACTTGATATTGCACAAAGTTGAAGCAGAAACGAAATCCATCGGCGCCAAGTGTTATAATGCACATAGTACTAAACACATTCTAGAACGAACTGCATGCGCACGTGAACACTACGTTCGAATAAGCAAAATCCTGTCAAGAAATCGTAGTCATTAGCACACAGCGCTGAGCTGGATGGTAGCAGTCGCGGTCCCGGACGTTAGTGGCTAGTAGTCAGGGATCCACAGCGGTACAGAGGGTAAGGTCTATGATCATCCCGTGACCTCCACGTCCTCCTCTCCACCCCCTCTTCCACCCCTCCACCCGACCGCCGGGATCCGACCGGCTGGCTCTGAGAGCCGTGACCGATGGGCACCGCCGCCGGGCCGCCGGGACGGGCCGACGGCCAGACGACCGTGATGTATGCTCACCATCGGTCGGCTTAGGGCCGCTAAACCAGCCCAGCGCAACCGTACTGAAAGACTCAGGGCGGCTAGACCGAACCGGCACACTCCCATAGACTATTTCAAGTAAGCAGCAGCCCCGCACACATCCACTTCCCCACCTAAGGTGATTCGGGACAGTCCAAGGCGGCCTGTCACGCTCCACCGACCGACTGGTGCAGGGTATCAGACAGTCGAAACTCGCCCCCACCTGTCGTCTAGCCTATTCCCCACGTCAGCGCACCTATCAGCCTTTAATGTGCTCACCGGGAGTTTTACGGACCTATGCCAGCCACTGTGTGTATTTTGGGAGCCTATCGGAGCTCGGAGCGGTATTTCAACCGAGGCATGCAATATCAGAAATGTCTGTGGTGGTATGTTGCATCCGACGGGAATGCTCTGCAATGGTGCATATTAGTGGGAAGTTATACAAGACTCATGGTTCGCTTCGGTCTGTCGGGAAATGCACTGGGCTTGGAAGACCGAACAGCATAATTAAAAACAGAAGATGGGGTCGTAAATTTCTCAGGAAAATGATGAAGTCGACGCAAAACGCATCCTGGCGCGCCATATATCTAGAGTTTCTGGTCACAAAAACATCGTAAAACAGAACGTTGACCGGGTGTAAAATTACTTCCCGCCGCAGACACGCAACCGGCATACGGAGGCAGGACAAAGCTTCATAGTTCACACCGCACACGTCTGAGTATCACATTCCGAACTGCTTGTGTCAGATTGAAAACAGTGCGACATATATACGTCAATGGCACGTTGAAAACATCCATAACCCTTGGCCTGCATACCATTTCTTTGTCGAGCTCCCATCAAAGCTGGTCATTCACGAAGATATCATTTTATACGAACTTTCTTTGACCCTATCCTACCCCGTCCTCAATTCTGCAGGGCAGCACAATCAGAGTCGGACACTGCCTCTGAAGCCCAGCTCAGCGCTGACGCCCCCACCACTACGTGACGCCCCGCGGCCGGCAGCTCTAATCCCCTACAAACACCGCCGGGCGGCGCCGAAAACAGGCGTATCCCACGCGTCAACGCAATCATTAGGCGTTAGCGGGATCCGGCGGTATTAGCGCCCGGCGATAGCACAGCCGTGTCATCGACCGACGGCACGGCCGGGCCTCTGTCCGTCCCTACCTCTACCCTACCCTCCTCTAATTTGTTGTTCTGACCATACCCTTTCATGCCGCTCTGGTTTTGTCTATCGCTGGCGGCTGAGATATGTAAGTAACGGGTCAGATCAGACTAAGTCCACCTTACACAGCCCTGGAGCAGACTGTCAACCACACGTTACGACACTGTATAACAGCAGCGACCCCCGGGGTGGACCGGGCTGCTGAGAGGACAGGACGGAACTGAAAATAGCCCTCGTACAAAGACGTACACATACACAAATACACGGGTGTGTGCACAGTGGGGACAGCAGAATAGAGGGAGCGAGAGAACAGAGAGCCAAGGGGAGAAAGAGGGTGAGGGAGAGAACAGAAAGACGCATACAACCACAGACTATTGTGGGCGAAACCAAACACAAAGGAAGGTGACTGAAACAAAAATAACCTCTCCCCACAAGGTGACATCCTTTCACGATTGTATTCTTCACAAAAGTGTTGTTCGCTAGCCGATTTATTTGCCTGCCCACCTGGCCTAAATCAACGGAATCTCAGAGTTCACCAGCGAAATGGAAACAGACGACGGCGACATTGTGGACAAATCAAATAACGGAGCGAGGCGAAAGCGTGGCGAGCTACCGGGATACAGAGCGGCGACGGGCGAAAAACAGCCGGACTGCCCGGCCGGCGGGGCTGCCGCTAGCACACCGGGCGACGCGTTCTCACCGGAACCGTCTCACCGCGGGAGCTCTCACATCAGGTATCTCTTAACCCGCTGTGTTCAGTGTGTTCTCACCGAATCCCCATGTCTCATGGCGTTCTCACCTCCGGCCTCCTCTACCGCACTGTTTTTTTTACATCAGTCGTTTTCTCACCGGCCTGTCTCTCACCTATCCATGAGGTTTTAACCGGCCGCTCTCACCAGGCGTCGCGTTCTCACCCAGTCTGTCTCCACTCTCACCTGTTTCTGTGATCCGTCTGTAAAGTCGTAGTTATCGTAGCTCGGTGTGATGCCCACCGCCTTGTCCTGCTCCCGGCTGCGACTGTAGTGAGTGGTGTGCAACTGGGGGTCGGCGGCCGGAGCCAGGCGATTCTCGATGTAGCTGTTACCAGACGGGTCATCCAGCACCTGTGACGGAGAGAAAGTGGGGGTTAGGTCAGGCCAGGTAAGCCCAAATATGAGGCCCGGCAAAATGATATTACTAAGGGTAACGCAAACCAAAGGCAAGTCACGGGAGAGTCCTAGAAATGAGAGATAGATGGCATAAAACCAAATCGAGGTACACTGGCAGTTGACACTTTGACTTAGCCTCTGAGTTCTATTACTGGTGAGTGATCGCTTGCCCTGGCTGGGGCGGTGGAGGGGAGGTGTATCAATGTGCCCCTGACTAAAACAGGCGCTGCGGGCGGGTCCGGCGGAGCCGCCGACTGCGGACTGCCGCTCTCTATTCAGAACGCAAACCAGTGGCCACGATCTTCATCCAGTTATGCTCTTCACTAATTTAGTTTAGTTTACAGGCAAAACCTCCATGGCTAATGTCACCACCTGCTGTCATCCTAGGACTATCATGTACCTAAATACAACTCAACTGAGCTCTACAACTCTCACTGAACACATCCACCATTCACCCCGACCCTTTTCCCATCGTCAATTTACCATCGTGGCCGGCGTGCGGAGTTCAATAACGTCCTTCAGTCGGCCGATGAACTGGTCAATTTTGTCCGCGGCGTCCGCATCCAGGGCGCGCCGCACGGGCTGATCGGACGCCAGGTCGTCCGCCGTTCGACTCAGTATGCCCTCCACGGTGGTCACCTCTGAGGGATTGACGGAGAGGGACGGTCTCGTGATACAGACAGGTTAGACTGACTGCAGCGCCACCTAGGCTCAATGGGGATGCATGTAATGTGGAAACGTCCGCCAGGGGGACGACACTGGTAGCATCAATTTCATAACCAGCATTTCCACCTGAAAACACTGGCATAAAAACTTAATCATCGCAAAATATTATTGTAGCTGTCAATATCAATTTCAAATGAAGTGACTTTGTAAAAACGACCTACTGATGACTTTCTGACCTGCTTTTTTGACAGTATTTGGTATTTCCAGCTCCAGTTCTGGTACTGAGATGATGGCATATTCAGACTTGACCACGGTCCTGTTCATGTCCTCAGCAGACTTCAGCTCCAGCTGGCCATCAGACAGACAAGAAAATTAAATTGTGTGGGAGAAAGACAGAAGCACCAGACTTCTAGTGGGCGAGAAAGCAAACACTAATTTAATGGAGCTAAGTTACAAGCCTTCACTACATGGATAGGACAAAAATAAGACTAACAGATATTTCAGGCAAAGAACTAAATAAGCAATAAGCACGTACAAATTGGCAAACACCACCTCCTCACTTTGTTCCATGCTGAGTGCACTGCTTACCTTGATGGTTATTCCTTTATCCTGGATTTCCTGGCCGGACTGTATTTCATTGTTTTTGTAGCCACATTCTGGACACTCAAAGGACATGAGAATGACTTCCTTGTAGAACGGTATCTTGGTGAGCAGAAGTCGAGTTGTGCCCTAGAAGTAGAAATCGGTCATAGGTATGATAATAACTGACTTGGGAATCATATTTGATCACATTGGTTAAGCTGACAATAGACATATGGCATAAGTACGTTTCAGAAAAAGCAGATGAAAATGATCAAACACCAAGCTAAAGACCAACCAATGGCCATATAATGTGGACATACAATGCTCAGCTACATGCATATTGATGCTCACATTTTTCTGGCAGTTCATACACAGGCTCTCGATCTCACTAGTGCCTGCTTCAGTCTGGTCTGCTGACAGCTCTTCAAAAACAGTGCCCATTTTGGTAGAAGTTGCTGATCGATGCCCTGTGGATATTGCAAGAAATCATAAAATCAGCAAAAGTCAGTTGGGGAAACTACGAGGAGCCAAACAAAAATTGGATTAGCCAATCAGCAGCTGGAGTGGGCGGGGCGAAGACCATATATGGTCATAAAATCAGACAACTTCATCTTTTCAATGAATTTTAGCATTGAAATGAAAAAATAAGGCATAAGAATGTTTTTTAACCACACAAGGCCTACACTCACCCGGTGCATAATTAGCTGGCGGCTCTAAATCGCAGAGTTACAACGCAAGGTCAAACCGTGATTGGCAAATATGGCGGATTGAAACAGACGCGCCAAAAAATGTAAGCAGTACCGTTGTTTAAAAATGTCATTATTTTTATTATTTTGTTTATGGTTTTACTAATTGTAGTTAAGTTATTATTTTAGAATTAAATATTTTTGTTTATTGTAATTAAATTAAATCTTTTAACAATTTTCTTTCATAAAACCAATCCATTTATTGAATGGCCAGCTGATTGCGACGCCCAGAACCTGCAGAAAAGCCGTTTTCCTATCGCCATTTTCGAGTCAATTCGCCGAATTTAATCAAATCACACCAATTCCTAGTGAAAAATGGAAGCCTTTTCTCTTCAATAAGTGGACGCGATACCGCAAGTACCGGCTTGTTATACAGTTTTTCACCCTTAGTAGCGGGGGCTGCATTTATACCCATATATGGTCATCAAAAGTCCATTTATTGACCAATCCATTTTTGACGTTCGCCTCGTAGTTTCCCAAACTGAAGTAGCCGATATGGCACCTTGTCAAAAATCAGGCATCACACTGCTCCAGCCACCTTTTCACAAGAAAATATGACACCTGGCTTACAACTACCAACAATGAGTGCAGAGCATAAAAATAGTGTAAAAATGTGCAAAATTTATGTCTGAAAAGTGAATCAGAAGCTTTCTGTAATTTTACCTTCAAATGTCTGCAAAGATCAAGATAGAAGAGAAAAATGAGCTTATATGAAACTAAAGTGTAAGTATACTGTGAATTACCGCACAAACACATACATTAACTTACTTGTCAATTGCAAGGCCGAGGTAAATTGTCAAATTACCACGTTACACACTTATACAGTGTTGCCGTGGCCAGATTTTACAGCGTACCAGGATCGCATCCAAATCGTACCAGATTGGCTGTTTTTGGCTGCGTACCGTACCAGATCGTAGTAGGTCAAATTGTTATTAATTCAGTGCTTAAAAATAGCCAAAATTTCGGTATGTTCATGCCAGCAAGTAATTTATGACTCATTTGACCCAGTAGTTCGACCCATTCGTCTCCCCGCGTCGCCCCTTGAAAGGCAGAAAGGCGCTCTTCTGAAACCTCCCGAACTGTACCTATACCTACTTAAAATTGGCCTAAAAATAGATAAATCGAAATCCTGCCTTCGAGGGGGGGGGGCACTCCAGTTGAGACTGGCGATTGCACCCAGGATCCTAGCTTGCACCCAGAATCCGAAAATTGCCACAGTAGGTAATATGCCAGTGAGAATGGAAAATTATTTGCTGGGTGTCATTTAGTTTTCCAACGAAATCGCACAATTTTGGGACAGTGATTCAAACTAGCCTCTTTCCTTAGCCCTCCGACCGTCGACCGAACTCACATTTCACTGTTCACAATACAACTACAATTCCCAACTATTGGTTATTGGTATCTCAGCTTACGAGCCGCACAGTGTATATAAATAACGAGCCGCACAGTGTACATAAACAACGAGCCGTACCACAAATCGCTGCATTTGGGCCCGGTCAATTCCCAACTCACGACACAACCTCTTATGTTGCCTTGGACGAACAACTGCCTCAGCCTGTAGCCGGCGGACCGTCCTTGGCAGCCGGCGTTGCGCGCGAATTTTCCACTTGTTTATACTAGCACACAACAGGAATAGGTATCAATAATTCCGAATCCGATGCATGAGACATTATGATGAGAAAGTTAGAAACACCATCCCTCCTGACTAAAAGAATTTTTTTTAGATCGAAAGAAATATTAAAATACCAAAAAATGCATTTCGGCGAAAAAGTACCAGATTATGGGCCTGTTCCAGCGCCTCCAGTAGAAATTCTTGACTGGAGGCTCTACCAGAGGTTTTACTGGAGGCGCTGGAACGCAATCTGGAGATTTCTGGAGATTGGCATCACATATACCAAAAGAATGACGATTGTTCTCTCTTGAAACACAAAATTTGTTTTCAATTTTACTAAGAAAGATTAACAAAATTATAGCAATGTAATTTTCTTTACATTCAAGTTGTAAATTAATCAGTCAAAAGTCCTTTGTTTACATTCGTGATTGTCACATGTGCGCCATAATTGTAGACCAGAGCCTCCAGAGAAAATTGGACCTCCCAACTCTCTGGAGGCTACTGGAGGTTTCTGGAGCTTTGGCGAGAGCTTTCTGGAGCTTTCTGGAGGCGCTGGAACGCTCTCTGGAGGTTTCTAGAGCTTTCTGGAGCTTTCTGGAGGTTTCTGGAGGCGCTGGAACAGGCCCTTCGTTTAAGCGTACCTCCGTACCAGAAAGGTCGAAAAAGTACCAGATCTGGTACTATAGTACCAGGACGGCAACACTGCACTTATACTGCCCTGTGTTGAAACCGAAACTGGTTGAAACCCATCCAACACGCGCAAGGCGCTTCTCATGTCACAACACGCTATTCCGCAAGGCTGATTCACCTATCAGAATGCATATAATATGCGACCTTACCGAATGCTTCGAGAAGATTCATCATGTATATGTCGCAGTGGCGTCACAGCTGTCGCAATTATTTGCTACCAAACGAAGGTTTTCTCTACACTTCCTAAAATTGAAGGCACAGCCGAGCTAAAACTCCATTCCTCAGATAATTCAAGTGCGGGCCGCCACAAATGCGGCCACCTGAAATATAAGAAGTCTTTACAGTCTGAAACCCCCTCCCCTACACTAGCTTTGAGGGCAACTTTATGCTCCAGTTTTTGCGGGGTGCTGGCGCACCCGCTGAAGGAGTCTTTCTCTGTCAAATCAAGGACCTAGCTTTGGGACCGGCTCCGGCAGGCGGCAGCTCAAAGCTGCACCTTAAAATAAACCTACCTAACTAGATTTTAGATAGTGCCCTGATACGCCCAGGCTGAAGAAAAAAGTGTTACCTGCATGCACTGCCAATAATTTTCCTCCCGCGCAGGTCGCCCGGAATGCCGGGTTGCCGGGTCACTGCAAGCCCGTCGACGATGCCTTTTCAATTTCCGTCACCCCTCCGCACCCAGCACCGCACACTCACAACGGCCACCCAAAGACCTGAAAAAAAAAACTGAACAGCGCGCTCGATAATTCTTACAACCCCACATCAACATTTCCGGGTCCAGAAAGGTGGTGCTGTACGCTGAGAGCGAGGAGTCTGCGAGTAACATCAGCAATCAGCAGCATGACGTGCTTACTCCTTACATCGGTAATGTGTTTCTCTTTGTCAACGTTGGCACACGTTTCCCCCACACCATCTGTCCGTTGGCCAGCTGTTCTGTGCTTTTCAAATATTGACAACCGGCAACCAAACGTGTCAATATTCAACTCAAGCCGTATTCTGTGGCCAACACGAGCCGTTCATGTGTCCTTAACACTGCTTCTTTGCATGTCAATCGGAAAACGGTTTATTTTCCTATAAATCAGAAAACAACACATATGAAGTTACAAGCCTAAAAACATGCCATTAGTACACACCAAAGAACACAGCCCCCTCCCCTCTCCCCAAATCGCACGACTGCACTTAAGAACACTATCTACTCATTTTACCACTCGACCATGCACTATTTCTTATTGTCCCACGGTTCATCACCAGCAACAAGCGACACTGAACTGTCTCCCGTTCCAGCCCTCCGTGAGGTACTCCACTTCGTCCCCTCCCAAGCATCGCCTGCCTGGTTGAAGACACCCAGCGGTCCGCCAGCACCGGAGAACGGCCCAACTGCTCCATAAGAGCCGCTGTGGCGTTAGTCCAGCTCGTCGGGCCGCACTGGGTGCTTCAGCGGTATCATGGACTGCTTGCCGGGGTCCCGAGATAGGGCCTTCCGCATGTCTGCCGAAAATAACAACTGCGGTCAGCGGAGGGACTTAACTGACGAACATCACTTAATCAGCTGCTGAAGTAAGAAAAAGGCTGTCAGTAAGTCAAATATATACCGGCAATTTGTCTATTTCAAAAACCCACATCCCTGTTTCCAGTACCAAATGGATAACGAATATGACGACAACACGTGATATCCTCACCAAACGCGTCCTCGTCGCCTGAGTAGTACTCGAGCACCCTCCGGTAGACGACGTAGCCGAGCTTCTCGTACATGTCGATCGCCACCTTGTTGCTCACACGAACAAACAGGTCGACAAAGTAGGCCCTCTTCCTGGTGGTGAACGGGAAACAGGGCGTGAGACCATGCCGCGAAATGTGAATGATGAGTCATGATTAAGAACAGGATAAAAACATTATTTATAGTCACCGTGAAAAAACATGATCTATTGAACTTAAATCGAACACTTGAATGGATATCGGATCGGCTAAGTGACGCACGTAGGTCCTGGTTTCCTGCCATGGAAACGCTATCTTTGCTGCTATGGAAAGGCTATCTTTGCAGCACAAAGGTGCACGGACTCATCACTGGGCCATTTCACCGACATTTGGTTCACCGTTCAGTGGCGTGAATTTAGACCGCCCAAGCCCCACCTCTGCCACACGGTATGAATACAGACCTCCCTAGTCCCTATCCTCACCTCTCCGAGACGTCCTCCAGATAGTCCATGAGTTTGCGCGCCAGGCCGAGTCTCCGGAAGGTAGGCGCCACTGTGACGGCCGTCACGTGCCCGTGCCAATGCTCGCCGTGACCCTCCGTCTTGCCCATGACTGTAGCAGCAGGAAAGCCATTATATGTGCATGGGAAGCAATCTCAATGGAAAGACTGAAGTAAGTGATTGAGAAGATAGCACTCTACATGCTTAATGAATATCATCAGATAATAAACAAATCATTAGCTACAAACTGATTGAATAACAAAGTAGAGATGGCAAAATGTGGACCCGAGGACCCGGTCCAAAGAACCAGTCTGGACCCATATGGGTCCAGACCGGTTCCTGGAAATTTTCTGACGGGTCCAACCGGGTCCTTCCATAAACTACACATATTGCACACTACACATTATTGCAAAATATGAAGTGAATGTTTCTTTGCGCACAATAGCTCGTGTGTATTCCCAGTGGGAAATAGGCTGTTTTACTTGATGCAACTAATGATACCTACAAGTAGTTTGTATTAATTGACTTTTGGGGAACGGGTCCAACTGGTTCCGATTCCAACTAAGACCGGGTCTGACTGGTTCCAGAAATGTCCAGCCGGGTCTGGTTCGAGTCTGGTTCCCAAAATTGTCATCTTTTGCCACCTCTATAACAAAGGTCACCGGGAGCATGAACCCTTGTCAATCAACATAGCTACAGCATCAAATAAAAACTGGACAAGACTGAACTTTGACAAAGACTGAACAATAACAG